AGGGAAAAAATAAGGTGTAAAAAATTAGAAAAATTAAAAATGCTACCAGGATGATCCAAAAATGGTTTTGGGCCAAAACCTATTGTTTACAAGCTAATATGTTTTGACGAAATTCACAAGAATAATCCGTACTTTTAGGGATTCCACAATAATAATCTCTACTAAGAGTGTCCACAAAAATAATCCGAACTAGCAATATCGTCCATAAGAATAAATTGGATTGAATTCAAATTAATGACCATTTAATATTCCCAATCCCTACTTCCACTTTCCCATTCACCACTCTCGGGAAAGAGAAAAGTGGGAGTAAGGGTTGGAAGTATTAAACGGTCAATAATTTGAATTCATCCAATTTATTCCTATGAACACTATTGCTAGTTCAGATTATTTTTGTGAACACTTTCAGTGGGGATTATTATTGTAGAATCTCTAAAAGTACGGATTACTCTCGTGAATTTTGCCATATATGTTTTTAATTGAAACAGGAGTAATTCCTACTTCAAAAGAAAGACATGGAAGTTCACCCTTTTGAAATCTTTTCACCAAAACATTGTAGGAGCATTAATAGCCTGCTACGCACAGTATGGTATCACAAATTCAGATTTTTTTAACAAATGAAATTTTGAAAATAATTTATGAAAAGCAATTGCAAATTAACAGGCAACGCCTGTGATGGAAGACAATGTAATGCGTCCAGGTAAAGTAGATCCAGCCCAAGTGGAGCCTCCGGTTTTGGCAAAACAATTGATGAAGAATAATTCACAGACTAGTGCATTCGAAGGATCAGTTTTCACTAATTCAGATGTCAAGCCTGTGAGGGAAGGAAAGGGGAGGGTGATTACGGTTGACAGTTTTTGTGCCAGAGGGAATTTTGCAATTGGTGTGAAAGTAAATTGTCCTAGAGGACATATGTCCGGATTTGAAATAGTAAAGCTTTGGAAGAAGTTTTGAGGTGGGGTCTGAATTAGTCTTAGGTGTGCTGGGCTGCAAGTCCAAAAGGAGTACAGTTACTACTTACTAATAAGAAAACTGGTTGAATCTAAACAGGGAATCCTCAGCTCATACACTGATGCTACTGATGAACTTAAGTGGGAGTCCTTCCAGGCAGCTGTGATTCGAAGGGTTCAACCAAAGCTGGTTGGCTGGGAAATATCCTTACAATTCACTTCTAAGAACTCTCTGACTGAACGGCTGAACCTTATGTTGCACACACTATTCTGGCTGCTAATTGCGGTGAAGATGACAGAGATATCTTTCCTGGTCTCTTCCCGGAAGCCATGATCGTTGTGAAGATGTTAGGGGGCTGCCAACAGTTTGTATACATGTTCAAGAGGGAGCTGTAGGTTTTGACTGCCTGTTTCATATGGCTAATGCTGGTAAAGGGATCAAGATACACAAGAAGAGAGATGAGGATCGGGAAAATGACTCTACAGGAACATCTAGTATCTGCAATCAGTTAAATACAAAAACAACAGCAGCAACAACAACAAAAACATCCAAGCCTTAGTCCCAAAAGATATTGGGGTCGGCTAACATGAATCGATACATGATAACACCAACAAAAGGAAAAGAAAGAAAAAAAAGATAAAAAATAAGCTATTATAAAAAGATAATATAAAATGGGATGAATATACTTAAAAATGATAATATAAAAAGGATAAAATAATGTTTATATATATAAGAATAAAAGAATAAAAAACGAGAAGAAAAAAGATGAGGGGAAATAATAATAATGATAATGATAACGATAACGACAACGACAACGACGACGGCGGCGACAACAACGACAACGATTACGACAACAACAACAACAACAACAACAACAACAACAACAACAACAACAACAACAACAACAACAACAATAATAATAATAATAATACGAGACCAGGAACTGGCTACATATACTCAAACAAAGCCAGCATATCAGAACACTGCTTTCGAAAAAGAAAACGACTCAGGAAGCAATGGCAAAGAGAAGGAGAAAGCTTATAACATCAATGGTGAAGTAATGGGAAAAAATAGTATCCTGTCGAGTCATTTTTATGCAAATGGGATTCAGTGAGTATTGGATCGTGATGCCGTTATAAATGCTCACAATGAAGAGAAACTAAAGCTAGAGAAGCCAGCTTCACAAGCTGCGCAGAAAGCGGCAGAAGCATTGCGCCCATCACGAATGCTTAGGAGGCAAGAGAGTGTGGCTGTCCCAACCTGAACTGACAGATTTGAAATGCAGGGGCACCATTATCTGTCAAAAAGATAATTGACAACTACTAGTTCCAAGTCCTCGGGAGAGTCACCATTCCAAAAAACAGTAGGCCAAATGGAATTGCTGATTGGGCATCTGCTGGTCGAGCACTTTCACAGCTTTTTACTGATGCATACTCTGGAGTCATGTGGCCACATACCAGGGACTTAATTTTATCACTCACCAACCTATTGGAGAAAACTATGCATCTGGTGCTTGTGACACTACAGGCTGCTGTCAGGGCAGGTCCGGAGCTAGTGCCATCCGTGGAGTCAATTCTTTCTCCTAGCATTCTTAAGACGCGGGCTGCACCTCTCGCAGACTCTTTTGCTACTATTGATGCTCTAGAAGATTTAAAGGCAATGGAAACAGCTCCTGATTGCATCCAGTCTTTGGTTTCTCTAATTTTACCTTATGTTAGGCAAGTGCTGAAGTTACAGATCCAGAAATCAATGATGTACTAGGAAGGGAGAGGGAAAAGATGAAGCTGTTGGAGTTGTTGGTCAAGGCTGTTTCCTATCACCCACCTTGAGGACAAGGTGGTTGTCTAAGGGGGGAGATGTGATAGGATCCGGGCAGATTAGTAGAATAATAAGAATAATAGAATATTACTCCCTCGGTCCTGTTAATAGGTTCCCGTGGGTAAATGGCACGATTTTTTTGGCAAGAGATTAAATAAAGAAAACGTATAAAGTCATTAGAATGAAAGTAATTAAAGTGAGATAAGTTGGGGGAGGGGAAATTGTGAGACTTAACATGTAATGAGTAGGAAAGTGAAATTTGAGTAAAGGTGTAATTAATGAGAGAAAATTATTTCCTAGAATGGAATGAGAACCTTTAAATGGGACACCCGAATAAGGAAAGTGGAAACCTTTCAACGGGACGGAGGGAGTACTAAATAGGGTGTTATTGTCTAAATAAAGGTTTTGGGTCATGTAATTCAGGAAGTATGGGCCAGCCTTTAAGAATATAAATTGTATAAGGGGGGGAAGGAGGGAGGAATAGAGGTAGGCATAAATTGGCTTGGTTTGGGAAAGGGGACTGCTCGAAGTGTCCCGGTCTGTATTCTCTTTCCGTTTCTGCACGTTTCGACGTCATTCTACTGTTACGAATTCGGAGTTCCTAACAGAGAGCAGCTACATGGCTTGCCTGAAGGAGAAGCAAGAAGCGGTTAAGGGGGGAAATGCAATCAGGAGTCAAGCATCTGAGTTTCGACCACCAACAAAGGCCAAGGCATACAGAAAAAGACCAAACAGAACAAATTCAACTATAGGCTCATCAATATCATGCAAATTACAATACAAATTCAACTCTAGGATCACCAATATCATGCCTATATCTAATTTAACAAAAAACACTGCTAATTACACAAAACAAAAAATCAAACACTGTAATAAATTAAGCGTTGAGTGCAACATGGGTTAATAGTTGCACTTGTACTTGCACATATTACCATTTGATAGAAAACCTAAATTTGGGTAGTTGAAGGTCCAAAACAGACTAGGCAAAAACAAATCTTCCTGGAGAAAAACTATGAAGTATAGGGTACAGTCACCACAAATAGGGAACAGCCAAAAAATGAAATTATTTGGAATATAGAATTGGAAAACAATACCAAATATATCTTCATAGAAGAAGAAAGGAGAGGAAAAAACTTACCTCTAGCACATATAATATTAGCTTGTGTCCCTCTCCTTCAATCGATATTATACGTGCAGGAACGAGGAAGATGACAAAGCTGAAGTAAATCACGAGCACAGGGAGGAGCCTTCTTATGCAGCCTAAACCAATTTCTCAATGGCATAAGGTCTATTCGGAGACAGCACTCTGACCTTTTCGGTTTATGTGGTTCAGCAAAAAAAACATGATGCAGCAAACAAAATATGGCACATTCAAACAGAACTCTGACCTTATCGATTTATGTGGTTCAGCAAAAAAACAAAGCCATGATGCAGCAAACAAAATATGGCACACTCAAACAGGAAAGAAAATGGTCAGGAAAAAAAGAGAAGCATATTGGTCACTGAAAAAAGGAAACAAATTGCCATTAACTCCCTTAGGCTTTATATATATATATATATATATATATATATATATATATATATAAGAATATGTTACCCCTCTCAAAATACTCCTTTATTGAATATTCTGTATTGTTTGTATGAAGGGAAAAATAGAAAATTAGAACTAAATGCTGCAATGGCTTTGTTCCTATAAATTTAAAAGAAAAAGTGGAAATTAAAAAGAAAGAAAAATACTACATCTTTGTGCCTATAAATTTAAAAGATAAATTGCAGGACATCTGATGAGCTGAGAAAGCTGGAGAGGTTCATGTTGCATGAGTGGTTTTGTCTCCTGGAGCAAAGGATACTGAAGAAGATATCATGAACTACATAGCACCTTGTCTTGTGCACTATAAGTGCCTAGGAGTTTTGCAATTTGTTGATTCCGTACCTAAATAATCTTCAGGAAAATCATGAGAAGACTTATTAATACCAGATGGTGGAGAATATTACCAGTGGATCCAATGATGTGCGTTACAACCAATCCTAATATAATAGTCATAAGAATTATCCATAGTTATGTCCAAGTACTATTTTTAAGAGCACTAATAAGATTTTTTACTGTAAAATGTCAGCAGACATGACAACGTTATTCCTATATCATGCCTACAGACACCTTTCAAGTTAAGCACTCCAAAACACTTTCAAGAGTGCACTGATGTTTAGTCTGGCATAAAAACACTTTAGCACAATTGTCAAGTAGTAATCGAAATTTTATTGCATCATTAATAAATAAATGGGTCTACGACAACAAACAAGATTACACTTTGCCTAGAGATACTAGGACTGCATGATCTAGTCCACATAGAATTGTTTTCACATTTTGTACACAGTTAAAGCCCATAATAACAACAATGACAGAGAGCAAACATATGTGATATTTACAAGCAATCGTGTTGGAATCAAGGGGGTAAAAGCCATGGTTCATATGAAAAACAGACAGCCATAGCTCACTTCCAATCTAGCATGTCAAGAAGCCATAAAACCTCTTCTTCTGAATTGGCGGCATCACAGAAATCCATTTCAATCCCGAAAACATCAATAACCATGTCACAAACCCCATCTGTACCATGGTCCATGAAAAGCAATGATATCCACGCCCGAATGCCTGATACAAATAAGCTAACAGGAGAGGAGAACTCGAGGTAGTCATATGCTAAAGCCCGGTATGCTGTTCGGTCCACATAATCGAAAACTGATTTGTTAATAATGCAAGCAACTTTGTTCTTATCCTTTCTCCCAACTAGAACAGAAACACTGATTTTCTGACTCAAAGGAACAGTAAACCTCGGTTCCACGGGAAGGGTCATCTTATATTCTGGCCCTTCCAAATGAAACCTTAGCACATCACAAACATTGGGTGGTGGAACCCATGCCCCCCTCCGTAGAATGGGTCCCGGCACCACTTCTGAGAATATTATCTTGTCTTCTGCCCAAATATCGATGTAGAATTCCAAGTCTTCAAATGACAACCTAGGAGGGAGGATGACTTTACGATTTTGGTGCTTGCGACATGTCTGGAATAACTTGCAGTAGGTTACAGTGGGAGGGGAGGGGCGTTTACATAATGATGGCCACTTCTTTGCGCATAGACACTTCCAGAGGTAATCTTCTTGTGCAATCTCATGCCACTGTTTGCAAACTAACATGCACTTAGCAAGGTCAATTCCCTCCAAGAACGGGAAGACGGCCTTCAAAATTTCCTCAGAATGCATTTTCCCCACAATGGAATAACTAAAAATGAAACCTCTGAGTTTATCCGGAATGACTCAATAAGCAAGTATGATGGCAAAATCTGTCAGCTAGCAGGGTTTACCCTGTGAAGTAACACATGCCATCAAACTTGTGAGCAACATAATTGAATTTCACAACAATAAATATACCCAAATGCACAATAAAAAGCATGGCGCTTAGCCACACACCATAACTCTATCTTAAGATATCAACGCGACAATAAGAATGTTACATGGCAAGACTAATGTCGCAAAATAAACATATAACTTGAACCTCCGGGAAACTTTTAGAACATCGGGCGCAACTATTTAGGAAAAAAGATTACCGTTTTCTACGTCACTTCACAATAACAGGGAAACTAAAAATTGGTCACTGATAAAAAACCCTAAACTCTCCAAAACCATCATAGCCTCAAAATGCTTATATCTTTTGCATGAATAAATAATGTCTTATGTGTAATGCTCCTCCAGGCCATCAAAAACTAGCCATAAGCTAGACATTATGAATAAATAAGGACTTCTTATCCCAACATCAGAAGCAAAACCTAAGAACTCTTTTTCGTAAGAAACAAAACATGGTAATTGGATGCAAGCAAACACCTAAAACGCATGCCCTAGTTACACGGTTTTGTAACATATAACATGATGCGTGAATGAAGCAAATTTGAGACATCAAACTACAAAGGGTAATAGGGAACTGCAAACCAAAAAAAATTATTTGGAAAAACAGGAAGAACCAACAGGAAAAATAGGGAACTGCGATCAAGTTAAATTGAACAGTTGAACAAATCAAATATTAATCAAACAACATGATACAATAATCAGACTAAATATGTTCATCGGTAAATAACATGCACTTCGCGATAAACTGGAAAAGAATCGAACTTTTTATTTGTGGCTCTTGAAAGACTTCTTACCAATAAAATAGAAATCGAAGATGAAATACAGTTCAATCACGGGGATATGCCTCAAATTACCGTAAACTGTGGTCTGTGGGGCCGAATGCTTCGACAAACGCTACAAAGCAGAGTCAGATCACCGGGATGTCTACCGCTCTTTGACCTTTGAGAAGTTCGAGTGCCCGATTGCGATCAAGAGAGATAATGATCGATCCTATCTTATTTAAGTTTTGTCAGTCAGAAATTAGATCAAATTGATATACTCCAGTTCACATTCTTCTTTACATTTTCTTTTTTGTCAGTACCACATTCTTCTTTACACTTTCTTATTTGCCTTATTTGGCAAACAAATCTACATAAAAGTATAAAAAGTGTCAAATAGTGTCCAAACAATGCCAAACAGTGTCCAAACAGTGTACTCTACAGTAAAGTCAAATTTATTTTCTTAAAACTTGTGAAGCCAAAGTGTCAATGAGATTATGAACCGGAGGGAGTAATATTTAAATTAGGGGTGGGTATACAAACCCAACAGATATTGAACCGGTCCCTAATTGTACCAAATGGAATACCTAGTATTTAAAAGTTTAAATAGATCTTTATCACAAATTGAAAGTATATTGTTTGAAACGGGAACATGACAGCTTATAGATTTTGTGAACCGAAAAATTTTGGATTGAACCGTTCAAAAATACGAAATAATGTATTTGAGATTTTTACATATTTTTCACACTGATAAATCTATTTTATAGACCAGCATTTTTATAACCCAATTATGTATTCATGTGTCACTAAATTTGCTAAATGTGTGTGTTTATATAAATATTGTTATCTTTTCAGATAATACATGTTATATTTTGGTGTTTATATTCATTTGTCACTGTTTTATTAACAGAATGATAAAGTTTTAAAAATCATTAATGACGATTAATATTAAGTAATGTAATTTCTAAAGTTTTGTACAACTTAATTAAATGGTTTAAATCTTAGTTTTCACGGTACGGTTGAACTATAAATTAAATTAAAACTAATATTTAACTTAGAACAAAGAAGAAGAACGTTTAGTTTTTCTTATTTAACCAACAATTTGATAATATTCTTTTTATATTTTAATAATAATTTAGTAAATTAAAAATGATATTTATCTGATTATCATTATTCGCTATATTTTTGCTTAGTTATGTTGTACGATTTGAGTATTGTAACTTTAAATACAAAAATGTCAGCGACTTGAATCTTTCCTAGTATTTCGTATGCAATATCTCTAATTATATCAACATTTCATGTGAATTGGTCGGTGTGAAAGTATCTACTAACTGCAAGATTTGTCTAAATTTTTTATCGCAACATGTGCTCAACATTGCACGGTATTGTTTTGTACTGTTCCGCAACTACATGATACCAAATGATTCGATCTTTAGAACCAGACCGTATCGAACCGTCAAAAACTTCACGGATATATTACGGGTTTTTCTAATTTACTGGACCATTCAATACCGCGGCCACCCCTAATTTAAATTATAATAATTATTATTACTTTTAATTATTATTATTATTATTATTGTCAAATACTTCTAATTATTATCTATTGTTATTATTGTTTCCTTTTTTGTTGTTGATGTCGTTACTATTATTTTTAATCAATAAAATTCTTTCACAATTGCTAATATTTTGTTTTGAAAAACTTAGTACTTCATCCGTTCTTAAATAAATGCAACAGTCAACATTTCACATTTGTCGAGGCACAACTTTGACCATTAATATATATAATTCCCTATTAGTAAAAAAAGTTTAAAAATATAGTTTTTGAAAATTTATAATGAGAAAAATTTAACAATGTTTTTTTCAAAAATATATATTATTACAATAATAAATAAAACGTATTCAAAGTAGAATATGTGAATAGTGCAAAAAGTCCAACGTTGCATTTAAAAGAGAACGGAGGTAGTACTAATTATTATCACTATGGATTATTAATTTTAATAATGATAACAACTAAAACAAATAATAGCATACACTATTTATTAATCACCTAGTTAAAGACGACAGGCTGGCAGTGGCGGAGTCACTTTGTACAAAAGTGTGCTTATAAACACCTAAAATTTTGAAAAACTTGTTAGCATATATGCATAAGTCTTGTTGAATTATTTATTATTCTTTCAAGTTTTCATTCTATAAATAAAATGAACACCCAAAATCTGATTCTTAAATCCGCCACTGCCACTGCAGGCTGGTATCACTACGCGTCAGGATTAACAAAGTTTTTTTGTCGCCGACGTGCGACTGTCTTTTCTACCGTCGAAGTGTAGTCCGTCGCATAGCAAGGAGACTCAATAATTACGGGAATGAGTAGGCAAATCTGGTCTGGAGAATGAGGATGATGATGGAGATCATAAACATCAGATGAAAGCGTGATGGAGATAGCACCAGCCACCAGGGCCAAAATCCGGAATTAGATAGGTTTGGGTCTCTAGGCCTGCCTAGCAGCTTGACTTTTTTTTAGATTTACGTTTTCTTTGCTAGTTTGTAGCTTTTCTTTTAATTCCAGATTTGCTTATTGTTTCTTTTTAGAGAGATTTATCTAAATAGGACTAAAACAAGGTAGAATTGCAAAAATAAGACTACTATGTTTTATTTAACACAAATAGGACTAAAAAGAGGTAATCTGACAAAACTACCCTTAATTAAAAAAAGCCACCTCTCTGCCTTCTGCAATTCATCGGTGATTTCTCCAGAGCAAGCTGCGATAATTTCCTACCATGAATTACAGCTCCGCCGTCAATTGTGGCCTCGCACCACAGCGGCGTTTGCCGTAGTCCTGCACTCATCAGCTGCGAGGTAAGTAATCTCTTCTTCTTCTTCTTCTTCTTCTTCTTCTTCTTCATCTTCTTCTTCTTTTTCGTCTTAGCTTCCTCTTCCTCCATCTAGTTCTCTGCTTTTTATTTTTATTTTTTATTAATCAGATTTTAAATAAAACTTTGATTCTTGAAAGTTTCAAATGAAGATATATGTTATCAATTTTTAGTACTTTGAATCTCAAAATGCCCTGACTAATGATTCTAGAAAATGTCACTTTTTAAATAAGAGAATGTCATAATTATTGGGTATTTTTACAAAATGTCACTTTTATGTCATTACAATATTTGGAAATGCCATATTGAGAATGTCATGTGTCTATACGAAATTGTCATTATTGTGTCATTATGCATATTAAATGGCATTCTTAAAACATATCATTTGCATAAGGAAAAACATGTCATTTTCAAGCTATCCTTAAATGACATATAAAAATAAACATGTCAATTTTTTTAAAAATGACATCATGTGTACTGTGATGTTAAAATAAAGTTGACATTTTGGAATAGAAAGATGACATTTACGGTTGTTATTTTTTGGGAACAACATTTACAGTTATTAAAACATGCCATAATCTGAAATTCAAAAGAAGCACAAAACATAAAAGAAATAGGGGGAGGAAGAAGAAGAAGAACAAGAAGGAGAAAGGAGGAGGAGAAGAAGAAAAAGGAGATGGAGGAGGAGAAGAAGAAGATGATGAATACATGGTTTTGATGGAGAGATCGTTGCAGAGGTGGCGGTCGACGTCGAGCAGTCACCTGCGATTATAGCAAGTCGGTCGAGTTGCTATCGATGGCGGTTGAGTTGCGTCCATGGAAGCTGAGTCGCAAGGGGAAATTGTAATCCCAGGTCTCGCGATCGGTGCAGAGAGATTGGGGAAAAGGTGATTTAGGGATTAAGGGTAAAAATGTAATCTGGAGTCCCATTTAAGCAATTTAAAACTTCAAGTCCTATTTTGGAGTTTTAACCATGTTTTAGTCCTATTTAGGACAATTTCTTTTCTTTTTAATTTCGTGCAAGTACAACCATTTGATCATTATAGGCAAGTTGCTCGTTTAATGGTTAATTAGTGATTGTGCTATTTCAAGCGTGAATAATTCTACGTCTAATTTTAGGGCTTGTGATCGAATTGGGGGTGTTTGTCTGATTAATGGTTTGCGAGTTCTTTATAAATCGTGTTGAGGTTAAGTACTCGCGATCCAAAAGCTCAACACAGTCTTTTGAGCTTCGTAGGATCCGTAATCGATTTATGGATTTGATGTGTCTGTTTGAGGTAATATGAAGGCAGAAACAATACCAAGAAGGATTAGAGGCAAAGTGGACCAAGTTTTGTTATGGACTTGGAACGATTACAGCGCACTGCGCACCCTTGCCGAACTTGAGCCCAAGCCCTCTATTATACACGAAATATTACAGAAGACTAGAGAGAAGTCTAAGCTATAGTATGCAAGTTTGTCAGCCCTTACAATGAAATAAATGTGAGTGTTTATGCTACAGTGTTTATAATCCCTAAGCATAAATTCATTCATATCAATGCATTAAATGTGTTTCCCGCTAATTCTAGCTTTTCGCCAATTGCTTTGGGGAGCTCTCTTAGTCATGGATCGGGTCCGGTTCGGGCCCGGGTTGGGCCTAGGCTCATCCGGGCTTTTGAGGGTTGGGGGAAGGCCCAGAACCGGCCCGGGTATCCACCGGGTACGGGCCGGGCCGGTTCATTTTTTTTTTTGCTTTTCTAACTACCCCACCCCCGAAACCCCCCAAACTCCCCCAAAACACCCAGTCCCACCCGGTTGAAACCAAAAACAATTGAAAAAAAATAGTTTAGGCCCGAACCGGACCCGGGCCAGCCCGGGCCGGTTCACATTTCGCATAGCCCATACCCGCCTCGGTTACCCCCACAAACCGGGCCTAGACCCGGAACCGGTACCCGGTTCCCAGGCCGGGCCGGGCCCATACAGTGTCGGGTCGGGCCAGGTGGCCCGCACCGAGTCCAAACCTAAGCTCTCTATGCAGTCGATGATAGTAGAGAAAACATAAGTAGCAAGATTATCCTGATCGGCAGATCCCGGAAGAGGCATCCCGGTTGAGCTTCTGGCTTGGGTGTTTTGAAATTGACCCTGCATGCTAGTTGGGTCGCCTAAGGTATTTGTGTCTGAACCCGATTCATCACATTAACTACTCCCCTATTTAGTGCGGAGAATAACATTTATTATTTTTATATTAAAATTTAGTAATAAAAAGTAATTAATACCACATTCCATTTCTTAGTCGCTCAGTCAGCGCTACCCTACTGCCCCACTCGCTCACTCCCCATGGAGAATCGCTTTAGTGAGTCAAACATAGAGTTACTCACTTGTTTAACATGTTTTTATTATAAAGATAAGTTCTCCAATTTTTGTGAGTCAAAGTCGTTGAACCTCACAGAGTTATATACATGCGATTTTTCACCTGTTGATTGGAGAGAGATGAAAGAACGACTCCGAGTGTGGATATATGAATCATTTTGTGCCGCACAAAATATTGGTGAAGTTTGTAAAAAGATGGTTGAACTTAGAGTTCACATTCTTTTCAATTGGTCTATAATCTAATCGAGTTCATTTTAGTATTACCAGTTGCAACAACCACAATTAAAATAATCTTCTATGTGTAACTATTATCAATACAGATCTTCACAATTAGATGAGAGATGATTTTTTTACGGATTGCTTAGTGCTACATCGAGATGAATTGATATTGACAATGATAATGGAACATCGTTAATGAAACTATAACGCAACACTTTCAAAATATGAAAACTCATATATTTGATTTACCAAAGTTGCAGTAAGGAACTATTTAATACCGTAGTATGTAAGTACTCTTTATAATTTATGCTAATAACTTACTATGAGTCTGCCACCGAAAGTAAATATTACGGAGTATTTAAAGTTATTTTGTACACTAATAGTAATAAAAAAGAATTGAATTGCAAATTTTGTTACTGTTAGAAATACCAAGAAGAAATTACTAAAAGAATTGCTACAGCTATCATATACTATTGTAGTTCCATCGTTTTTAATCACAAAAATTAAAATTTGTCAAATATCCTCAGATATCAGGTCGATAATAAAAAAGGGGATGTTATGAAGTTGGTTTTGTCATCTACATACCCTACTACCTAAATTATAGCTGGTTCCTGTGTATAAATACTGGGAATCTGCAGGCGGACTACCCAGAGAAAAGAAAGAAAGAAAGTGAGAAAGAATTTAGATGAGTTTTTTCCTCTCAAAGAATGACTTCAAATGCAAAAGCTGCAGACCAGCCACAGACAGGCAAACGAAGAGGGACAGAAAACTAAAAGTGGCCATTTTCCCATTGGTTGCTATGTTCAGTTCTTGCATTTCTTCTTCCCTACACAAGTACACAACATCACATATTCATTCATTAAGGCTCCTCCATTTGTTTCCCGAAAAACCACTTGGTTTGGGAACATAAGTAGTTCTGTATTATTACTAGTATAATACGGAGTATAATGTTTGAGCACAAAAATAAGAATAAGGGCAGCCCCGTGCATGAAGCATCCTGCAAGATGAGGATCCGGAAAAGGGCCACCACAAGGGTGTAAGGGTGTATATGAGGTGCAAGCCTTCCCCAGTTAAGAGGCCGCCAAAGCTCTCTTTCAACCCACAAAATAGGAATACAACAGGAAAATGTCTATCCCTATTCAAAACAGGAAAACACTTACCCCAAAGAATCAAGGCTTGGGAAAATATTTTCCAGTGCCGAACTCAGGAAAATCATAATTTTCCAGCAACACATATTTTCCACCCACTGAAAATCAGAATCTGAAAGAATAAACATACATTACAAGTATAAAATAAATTTTACCTTTCACGAAGATAGAACATCTCATCATGAATGGATGAGACTGTGTCCAACAATTTCATAAGCTCAAGTTCCATCTCCTACAGCAAATGAAGATCAGAAAAGATGATAAATTTTAGACTCAATCGCTATGTGGGGAATTAATCACTAGTTCACTCAATCCAAAACTAAACTGTGTGCAATGGCTCACTAAACTATCTGGGCTTCTTTGTTATAAAGCAGCAGTCAATCCATGCAATTTTCGACGCGATTTTCATCATTGGTCATCCGGAAACCGTCTCTCTGTGCTTTAGTATAGGAGTAAGATTGCATACATCTGACTCCCCTTACCCTACCATAGGTGGGAGCCTTTGTGGCACTGGGTAATGTTGTTATTTTTCGCTGTATCGAGGAATTTGGATTGAATTGGTGTCTAAAGAGTGATTATAAGAGGTTTAAAGCAATAGAGGGAAATACTTTTAAAAACAACAGAACATAAAACAAGATTAATTAAAATTTAAGTATCTCAAGCCCATTAGCATCCTCCCAAAGAATTCACTTGACCCAATCTGGCATTGTGTGGAACACTGACAGACCCTTAGGAGCTTCATGTGCTGCATTAGCGAGCCTACAACACATGGGCTAAATGTGAAAAGTGACAGTTACGCTAAAAATCTTAGGAAAAAAGTAAGTTGATTTGGGCTTCAACCCACCAATGCCCAGTGTAGATCTGGCCCTGCTAATCCAAACTAAAAAAATGGCCTAACATTTGAACTAGCTTCTTATGGAATTTGCATGGTAGGCTCGTAAATATGAAAACCAAAAAATTTCACTCAATTATGAACAAATGGATTGATTAGTTCCTAACCCACTTCCCTTTTCCTTTTATTATATTAAAGATATGTTTGATGAATTTTTTCACCATCAATCAAATCATCACAAGAAGCAGCATATGCAGGCTAAACAGGAAAGTGGAAAGAGGAAAATCATATAGAAATGCTCACTTCAATCTGGTCTTTCTTGGCAACTTTGGACCAATCCTTGGCAGCAAACCCAGTCTTCCAATCAAACTCAATTGACAGTGTGAAGGGTGGCTTGTGATCCGGTGCCCAGAAACAAACGATATAGTTGCCCGACTCTGCTGCAGTAAATGCAAAATTACCCGACTCTACATGTTCTACATAGTGATAGTGATGTCCATAGGGAGAAGTTACCTGCACCATCCCGGTTTACTGTAATTTAATCTAACACTTAAGTTTCTGCAACATTAGCGTGTTCTTTACTCGAGTAAACTAGTACTCTAATAAAACAACATTTATAGTTTTTTAGCAACTACGGAGTAAAGTTTAGGATATCATTTTTAGTTTGCAGACAACATTTATCTATGCCCAAGTGCCCAACACCTAGATATTAAGCATTGTGAGCAATGGCAGAGACAGAAAGTATATATTGGGGGAGCAAATTTAAAAATTGTATTGAAGAGTTCAGATTTTCAGAAAAATATAATTCGACATAGTATTTTAATTTTAAGTATAAATATATATAGTCCCTCACTCCCTCTCTCCCAAAAACTTAATAATTGATGTTTTATAAATGTCAACACATGTTAAGGAACATAGTGAAACCCTTCTATTCCTATTTCAGTTCAACAGCACTACATTTTTCAAATCCAAAGCATTTAATGTCACAGGAGAAGAGTTAATATGGGCAAATGTGGGAGATTATTACAAAAAAGCACAATTATTGTGGGTGGGAAGGAGTATTAGGATTCAAGGACAACAAATAATTGGGACGGACCCGGACGGTGGCCTTGTGGGAGTCCGGCAGGGGGTAGCCGTCAATGGGGTTGATGACGGAGTACTTGCCGACGGTCATGGCGTTTTCGGTAATGTCATCCGCGATGCACTTGGAGTTTCCGGATTGCAGATCGAACCGCATCGCTTCCGCGGAAACCAAAATCGCCGCCACCAGCGTCAACGTGTTGAGAATCCGCCGCCAACTAAATCTCCTCATTGAATTAATAATAATTCCTCAACCTTGCCGGACGGAATGCTCATGAACAAGAACTGGAACCCTCGCCTCTGGTCTATCTTCGCTTTCATTTCATTTGTTTTTGTGGGTTGGCATTCGTAATCTCTATTTCCTCGCAAGTTTCTAATGTTTCCACAAAAAGTTCAGAAATAGCCTCTGAAAATGATGCTCCCATGATTGTGAACAAAAGGTTAACAGCATGCTGGTTTTATATGTACGTACATCATATTGCATACATAATATTTCATGTTTATTTATTTCATTTGCATTACTAGACTGCATGTAAGGTAAAATTTGAAAAAATAACATTGATTAAGCGTTTTTAGAGGATATTGAGGGAGTGTTTTTTGAAATGTGTTTAATAGTAAAAGTCGGTAGCGTTTGAGAAAAGATTAATTTGAAAAAGTAACATTTGATAGTGTTTGGTAAAATATGTATTTTTTGTGTAATGGAAAAAATAAAAAACAAATTCTATATTTTAGTTTTGAACGGTTTAATTTAAGCAGAAATTGACATTTGAAAACACTTTTTTCAGTTTTTTAAGCCAAATGTTGAAAATCTTTTTTTTGCAAGCATACCCTTAGTGCATGTTTGATACGCATAAGTCTCTTTTAGTTTTTACACTATTAAAGAGGTCTTTAAAAGCTTCTAGTTGAATGTTTAGCATGCCATTTTTAAGAGCTTTTATAAAAATAAAATATATTTTTTTAGATGTTGCAGTGAGTAACATCTGAGAAAAGTCTGTAACTTTTAATATTAATTAATCTCAATAAGTTGTATGTCAAATAAAGCTAAATCAAACAGCTAGCTTTTCATGAAATAACTAACAGTTAATAAAAGATACCCCCTCCGTCCCATTTATATTGTCCCCGTTTTACCTTTTCGGGAAGTCCCACTTAAATTGTCTCATACCATATTTGGTAAAGTTTGTGTGACTCTAAATCATTCTTACATTATTCTTACTTTATCAATTAATATCAACCACACAAATCCACTTTTCTTAAGAACCGTGTCACCCTCTTCCGGGACAATATAAATGGGACGGAGGTAGTAATAAATGTATTTTTTTCAACTAGTTGTACCAAACATTTCTTTATATAAAGCTTTAGATGCATGACACACACATATCTTTGTATAATTTCTAGTTTAATATCCCAAAATTGAGGAGTCCAATCATCAAGAAATATTTCCTGTGACACAGTATTATTCCATCCTTGTAATAGCACAAGGATTCATATACTTTAAGTCCTGCTAATATCACTTGTTTTGATCTTGAGTGAGATTATTAAAGTAAAAAGCATTCTTGAAAGTCATTGAAGAGAAAAAGGAACCATATGAGTCACATAGTCCTTAAGCAATTTATTTCAAACGGATGAAAAAAGAAAATTAAATTTATTTTAGGATGGGAGAGTTTGTCAACTATATTAGAGTCATGAAAAATAAGAAAGAAACAGCCAAACCAACTTAAAGAGAAATACAAAAACAGGAGTAGCATGGAAAAGGACAAAAACAAATCGCGCTTCAGACGCCTGCCAGCCAGCCCTATATGGCTTCTAGAGCTTGAAGAACGTCAGCCTTCAAGTCTTCATAGTCCTCCACTCCAAAGCTGAACCTAACCAAGCTGTCCATTATCCCATGTTTGGCCCTTTCTGCTGGGGAAAGATCCCTGTTTCCAATTCCATTGACCAAAAATAAATAAACAATAAATAAATAAATAATTATTTATACTCCGTATATGTGTGTGTAAATATATAGAATTTGGTTCAATTGATGACACGGTCTTAGGAGAGAAACGTGTGCGTTTGATTTGAGAATTCTGTATTATGTGAAACAGAAATGTCACTGAAATGAATTAGAAAATGTAGTGGCACTTTAGTAAATAGATTAACATTTTCTACCAATTTGAAATGTGAATTATTTTAATCATAAATGTGCATCGCTTTAGGTGGTTCTCACGAAACTGGACCTTAAATAGTGTAGATACCACTTCAGTTGTAAACCGTGAACACCCCCTTTCTTTACCTCCTTGAGATTGTAATATGAACTTGTTGGTTTGTACTACCCAGTATATTTTATAATGTGAGATGACTTAAAGAGTTGCAAAATCACACTGAACATAATATACAAGTCTACAAAAGCTTGTCTATATGAATTGCATGGGCCATATATAATAGGGTTGAAGATAAATACCAGTAGGTCATAATAGCTGGCTGATCCACAATACTCTCAACACCTCCAAAGGATGGAGCATTGTATGGAATTTTAAGGGCATCCATAAACTTTGCTGTGGTCATGAGGTCCCCATCAATCTAATTATGTATGTTGACATACTTATTAGTTTTCAATTGTACTGTCTAATATATACAGCAAATCATATGATTCAGATATATATAAAAATATTGAAATGGTTGTGAAAAGTACATACAGACCTCAAAACTTACAACACCACCAAACCCACTCATTTGTCTCTTCGCAATATGATGTTCTGGATGGCTTGGCAAGCCTGGATAAAGCACACGTCTCACCTGCAACATTAAACTGGCCCTTAAAACAAGAAGGACTTAAGAAGGAACAATATAAAAAAAGGTAATCGTGGAGTTACAAAATAGACTATCGAATGATGAAATGTAAAACCTTAGGATGGGCCTCTAAAACTTCAGCCATCCTCAATGCTGTTGAGTTTTGTTGCTGAACACGAAGGTGCAGTGTCTTCATCCCTCGGATGATAAGATATGCAGCATTCTAATAGAATAAGGTTAAGGAAAACTATTATTATAAGCTCAGTTACATACAGAGTATAATTCAAGCGCATATATTGAAAATATAGGAAACTCTTTCACAATACACTTCACAGTTTCAAAATTAAACATTTAGAACTTAAAAACTCAATTGAGACTTGAGAGTATGTTATGGATGTGATTGGGATATTATTGCAGACTCGTGTTTGACAGAAACTCGATAGATTTAACCTTGATAAAGGCTTAAGCAATACAGCTTGGAATGTATCATAGTATTGATGAAGTTGAACCCCTATATATACTTCTTATAATAGTCTTGGTGAGCAAAGTACATAAGGTCCTACTCTACTACAACATTGCTACCAGAAATAGTAACTAAATAGATATGAACACTAATAGGAAACTGGGAATTTTCCCTTAAATATTAAAGCAAAATTTCGGTACTCATTGGATTTGATTTAGGAAATGAATATCACTAATGCAGTTACAAACTATGTACTGTCCAGTTGCATGATGGTATTTGGGTTACTACTTCTCCATGGCCAGTTGACCATTGGTAAATTCGTTGGTAAAATTTATTTTCCAAACTGGAAAATTAACATTTTTGTCCAATGAGTATATGATTAGTAATATATTAGGAATTTTCCAGGAATTTGCTATTAATATTTTTACTAATATATAACATTAGCCTCAAATCAGAACACTCACTGGATTGAGAACACCACCCAGGGTTATATGTAGGTCATGGATTAATGAAATCAACTTTTTAGGTCCACTGATGCATCCTGCAAGGACCTGCAACAAGAAATTGAGTGTAAAACCAAAAAAATGGATGCCGAACTTAAGATCCCTACCTGCCCTGCGCTAGAGGCTAGAGCTTTGATTCAAACCTAGTCAACTAATAATAGAAGGGGTGGGTTGTAACTATAAACACTAGTTGACATCAGCGTACATCATTATGCCCCGCGAGGTATTTCGTTGCAGATTGGATGACAATGTCAGCCCCAAGAGATAAGGCTTTTTGGTTGATAGGAGTGGATAATGTGCCATCTATGCAAACCAATGCACCTTTCTCGTGGCAAAGCTTTGATACCAACTCTATGTCAACACATCTTAGTAATGGATTCGTAGGTGACTCTGAGAAGAAAAGGCTCACCTGCATAGAGGAACTGCAACAATCAATGAACAAGGACAATTAAAATGATCCAAACACTTTCTAAGCAAGTTAAAAAGCAAGGTGATGATATTATAATAGATACTGACTTTGTTTTCATTTAATGCAGACTCCAGACAATCCATATCAGAAGGGTCAATTACTGTGGCCTGTATTCAGAGAAAAAAAACGACATGCTTCAGAATATTAAGGGCTCGTTTAGTAAGAGTTTGAGTCAGAAATGATTGTTAATTCTGCTGAACTCACTGAAAGTAAAAGTGTTTGGTAACATCTTTTTTAGCTATATGAGCAAATCAAAAGCAACTTACTCATCTGATAAGCGTAGGAAGCCAGAATTAGCTACCAAACACAGCCTAAAGATGAGCAAAACATTACTAGAATATAGCAAGTTGTGGTAAAAAGGTGTTTTTAATGTACTGTTTATACCATTTGTGGTATAAAAAAAGGGCAAAAACGCAAAATGGTTGGAGATGGAGTTACTGAGTAAGTAGCCGTTTCTTACTGTGATACCCATTTTAGGAAGTATAGTCTCAATGAAGATCCTAATCTGTTTATAGCAATCAGTGGTTGTGACAATATGTCCCCCAGCAGGGACCAAAGCTAACAACATCAAAGTACTTGCAGCCATTCCAGTTGCCACTAACAATGTGGATTCTGCCCCTTCCAGTGCACTGTTAGTTCCAGTGAACAATGAACCAAATTATCTTAAAATCTCTTATTTGTATTCACATTAATAATCACCATTTAGAAAAAGATGGAACTGACCTTAGCTTTTCTTCTGCAACAGCAGTAGTTGGGTTCCCCAAGCGCCCATATTCAAAGCTTGAACGTCTATTCTCCTGTAAATTCAGCAGCACAAAATCACTAATTGGAACAAACTAGAGTTACCATAACAAACACCACAGAAACAATTACTTTGAAATCAATTAGTTCAGAGGTGTTGTTGAAGAAATAAGCAGATGTGTTAACAATTGGAGTAGTTATTCCATCAGTGACAATGCCACGCCCTAATCTTTCCCCTGCACAAACCACGGATATATATAGCCTCAGAACTTTGTCACTCGAAATCCATCCAAATTACACATGCATGCTTTGAGCAATACTTTCTTCTAACATTAAGGCTCCACTCTTAGATTTAACTTCATAAGACATGTCATTAGTATTCATTTGTATCCTTCTCGAATAATTTGCTGTTTTCATTTATTGAAATCATGGCAATTGAAGATTTAAATTTCACAAATTATGAACTTCATGTGTGTTT